CCCGCCACAGTCACCAAAAAAAAAAAAATATTGGTGAAAAAAAGAAAAGAAAAAAAAAAGGGCGGGTACAGGAAGCCGGTCTTGAAAATTGTGACCCGTAATGAAAACAAATTCAAAAAATATGCCTTTTGGCCTGACCAGGCCCTGAGTATCTCGTGCCAGGCCAATTACGGTCTCGTCGGTCACCCGGTGGGTCCTGGCCTTGCTGGATGCTAGCCTTTGGATCTTTGTTCAGGCGGCGCTATCCCTTACTCTCCCTTCATGCGGTGAGGGTTGGTAACGGACGGCGCTATTAGGCTCACGAATCTGCTCTTCTTGAGGTATTTTCAACGGTGTCTGCACAGTCTGTGCTAACTTTTTTTGAGTGTACCTGGACGTTCTGGTACGTTGGCTCATTTTGTTTATCTCTCTCTGATTCTTACGTTTTTTGGGGCCCTTAGGCTGGACCGCGGCGCTCTACCAGCTGGGCGGAGGCTTTTTGCGGCCCGTCTGACCTGACCTCCCTTCGTTGCTATTTTGGACTGATGTATCTGGTTGCTTTTTCGGTTTTTTTCACTTGCTGGATGACCGACTATATGGAGGGAGTATTTGGGCGTACTTGTCGACGATAGTGCATTTAAGGACTGGCAGCTTGGCTCGGCTCCTCTCTGTAACCTGCCACGACGAACGTGCGAAGACGGTTGAGGTGAGCCCTGGCTACGGCGTTGCTCTTGGGCAGCGATGGCAGAGGTACTTTCATCCTTCGCCTGGTTGATATACGACCTCTGGGTCTCTGGTATGAATGCCCTGGAGCGCTGCTACTGATGCGCTGATGCTGCTCGTACTATGTCTGTTTTGGATTTTGGCTTGCCCCGTGGTCGCCTCTCCAGACACGCTGTGCTACCATGGAGGTTTCGTTTGCCGAAGATGTAGGGGATGTGTCTAGGGCTTTGCTTTCCCATGAGGGAGGGAATTTGGACTCCTTGGGAATGAGGTTCGAACGAACGGGTGTAGGATAGGTATTTAAGGAGGCAAGGCACTGGTATGGCCTCCAAGTGTCGATGCTTGAGTTGTTTCGGGGTAATCCCCCTGATGAGTCTGCTGGCGGGGTAGACGAAACGCGTCGAGGAAGTTCCACGTTTTTCTTGTCTTTGTAACTCTATTGGAATTCAGCCATATCTTCAGAATGTATGTTGCGATCTTTAGTTGTTGTGTCGACTCTTGGCATGCGTAACGGTGTGAATTTCTGGGTGAATCTTGCTCCTCCGTTCTCATGCACAGGCAGTTTTGTCGTACTGTCTTTCTCTTCCGATGTCTGTGACAACCTCCAGTGCAGTTGAACACGTCTTCTTTCTCGTATCTAGATATTTAGGTATTCAGGTTTTTCGGTATCTAAGGTTGGAGGCAGCTCTGTTGGTGTGATGAAATTCGGATTGGTGGTGACTCCGCCTTTTATTTAGGTATTTCGGTAGCTAAGGTTAGAGGCAGCTCCGTTGTTGTGATGAAGCTCGGATTTTTTATTGTGATTCCGCCTTTTATTTGTGATTCCAGTTTTGGGTTCGACACGTGAGTTAGCAGCGTAGTGGTGCACCTATTTTTTTATGCGTCTACTGCACCTTGGTGCAACCACTATGCTGGTCTTTTGCTACCGGTTTTCGAGCTTTGGTTTACGACTATTTTTTTTCGTCGCCTGGTGCTCGCATCTTGTTGATGTGGCCCGCTGTTTTCTCTTCGAATTTCGCTTTTCCTTGCTACACTTCCAGGTTGTGGTACTTTCAATCGCCTAGTTTCCTTTGTGCTAGTATGGAGTGGGTCCTCATCAAATGTGCTCTTTAGTTCCCTGAAGACGACACCTTGGTTAGGATTATTATCGAAATTGATGACGAATTAGGGTTTATCCGTGTCCATACGCGTGTAGATTAGTTCGGGGAGCTTTAATTTTGGCCTGGCTTCGGCGCAGGTCTGTTGGATACTTTATCTATGCCTTTTGTGCGGTCACCCTCAAAGTGAAGAGAGGTTCCCTGCCCCCGAAAACTTTGTCTTTTTTTGCACGACCACGCATTTCTTTTTCTTGTATTCTTTTACCCTTCTCTCAAGCATGGCTTCGGGGGGCGATCGTTGCTTTAACTGCGGCGGTGAAGGGCATTGCCAGAGGGAATAACATGTTATTCGTTAAAACAGAACGTTATATTTTAAATTGGTACTCACTTGCTATTAATTTCAGGTTGAAATCACTATATTTTAAACGTGAATGAAACTTAGGATATGAGTAGTGAACCCAAAAACGCAATTGACAAGTCATAAATCGGAACTGAAGTGAAGATTCAAGACAATCACACACTGAACTATAATCCATCACCTTGGATAATTTTTGTAACTTAAAAAACGTAACTGACATGATATTGTCATAAATTGAAACGCAAGTGAACAGTCAATGCAATGAGACACTGAATGAGAAGGTTGAACTCCGGATTTCATCGCACTTCGATCAATTTTGTATGAGCATTGAGTCGGGCTTATTTTACATGACATTGTGGCATGCATAAAGTGGAACTCAATCGACCAATCGCACATTAAACGGGATGGTCTAAGTACGGATTCCGTCGCACTTCGATAAACATCCCAATCATGAAGACAATTTAATATTCAACTGATTCGATTCAAAAAATTAATCAAAGATAAAATAACTGAACCCCAACTTGAATGCTTGAATTGCCATTTTCCGGTCCGACATCAAAACTTAAGTACAGAGATGAGGCAATCACATTAAGAGGTTCGCATTGTGTAACTTAATAAATTGAGGCAATCACATGATGGTTTAAGTATGGATTATATCGCACTTTGGTAATTTTGTAACTCAAAAGACATAACTGACATAGCGCTGTCATAAATTGAAACTCAAGAGAACAATCAACACAATGACACACTGAACGAGAATGTTGAAATTCAACTCTAGATTTCATCGCAAATTTTTGTATGAACATTGAGTCGAACGTATTTTACATGGCGTTGTGACAAACATAAATTGGAACTCAATTGAAGAGTCAAGGCAAGCACACTGTAAACGAGATGGTCTGGGTACAAATTTCGTCGCACTTCGATAAACATCGTAAGCATGAAGAGAATTTAATATTGTATTTGGTATTATACTATATCTTCAACTTTCCTGCCCACATACGCTAAGACACTTGCCATGCTGTT